CGTTGTACCTTTTTACGTAGGATGCAGGGTCTGACTGGCCTTTCAGATTTCTTCGGAGCCAAATATCCTGGTTATCTTAAGGCTTTTTGGTGTGTATATAAAATTATAAAAATTTGCTTATCGATGCGTCAACTTTATGCCCTGTAAAGGGATGTCCCAACTAAAAGGACCCTTTGTATTTTGAATCAGAAACAAACATCCCACAACGTCAACGCATGTGTTCCCCAGGGATCGGTCTTGGCTCCGATACCGTTCCTCTTACATATCTACGACCTCCTTTCCTGCACGATCATCCCAATAAACCGCTTCGCTGATGACAGCACGCTACATGTAGGAATTCGTAGTGACAAGCTGATCTCTGCCGCTGAGCTGGAGGTTATCACTGCTTGGGGACGCAACAATCTTGTACAGTTTAATGCCTCCAAAACATCGTACTGTACCTCGACGAACAACAAGCGTCAATAGCCCAGATCAGGCCTAACCTCGAGTATTGCTGACATGTTTGGGGTGCTGCCGCCCCGACTACGTTCTTTATGCTCGATGCTGCCCAGAGGAGGGCTGTCCGACTGATTGATTACTTTTCTCTAAAATATAGTCTCGGTATCCTTTCGCACCGGCGGGCCGTCGGCAATCTAGATCTCTTCTACTGCCATACCAACGGGCTTTGCTCCTCAGGGTTTTCTTCCAGGATGCGCGATGTGCCTACCAGACAGAGTCGCCTGACTTTGGCCTCCCATTCTAACCGTGTCGAACTTCGTACATCCAGAACTTTCCGATACGACTGCTCTTTTGCCTCAAAGGTGGAGGCTTTTTCCAGTTCTACTAACCATAGGCAGTTCAAAAGTCCGTTTAATAAAATTTCTTTAAGATCCTCGTAGCAGCAGCGGTGTCCCGGCATTCATGCTTCTGCGTGCAGGACGGCTTCGGTAGAAAAAAAACAGTACCTGTCATATTCACTATAAGTATATAGCGTAGTTTTAGCAAATTTAATTGATAGCAGCTTTCAATATGACATAATATGTAGAACCTAAAATTAGATCCTGAAACTCCTTTAAAGGGTCATACGCTGTGCACTACACGTCTAAGACAAAATATACCGATCTACAACTAATAGTAAGATATGTTTTAGCCTTTATTATTTGCATCAATTGTCACGTATCATATCTATTCTTCAAAAAATACTATGCCAACAGTAAACCGATTTCCAAAAAACCTCAAAGCAGGTTCCAAATTGGATCATGTACGTATATGTTAAGCTGCAATTAATACCGCATACTTATATTTTCTGAGAGTAAGACCATTCGAAGAGAAGTTTTTTAGATAAAAACTTTTCCTAACTTTTTCTAACAAAGATTCATTCTTGAGAAGATGCGGCCTTGCCTTCAGAACAAATCTCAACAATGAATCACGTCGCATTCTACGAATCTCCTAAGATATATGCATAATTCCTACGTCGTGATATATTCAACAATATATTGTGGCACGTTAATGGACAGCTATCATAGAACCAGCAACAAGGATTAGACTGTACGGAACATTAAGCAATAAATATCAAACTTTGTCGAGATCATATCTATCTTTTTTCGTTTGGTTGGTATGTAAAGTATGCAGATTTTGTGCAATAACAGATTTTGAATTGAGTCTTTAGACTTAAGGACTGATAGATATTTAGATATAATAGGTATTCAAAGTTAAAGTAAAGGTAGAAAGCATTAGTAGTTGACAGGAGGTGCTATGATAATTGAGAATGATCCGGTGTACGTATAGCTAAAGAAACTGCTTGTAGATTTGTCAGCTATATATTTTAAATCATTTGTCCAAAATAAGAAGTATGTTCAAAACTGATTTAGATTTATTTGAATCTGTTTTGTTAATGATAATTTTCTAATTATCTACCATGGTGTTGTAGATGCTAGGGTTAGTCAACGTGACTAGACTGACGGATATTATTCTTGTCAAAAGGGAATACATATGTAAGTAGATAATTCGATATCGCGTACCACTTATGTGAAAGGGGAAAAATGATTATCTTAAGAACGATATATTTATATTATGAGCACTTCCGAGTTTTTCAGACTAATACAATAAATAGCGATGATGTCCAGTCTCACCAAATTTTGTAAATTTCGTTATATAGTCTATTGTTTATGGTACTGGAGACACAGCCTTTAAAAGTATCCGTATCGTTTTCACCTAAAGATCAAACTTACGCTGTCGGAAAAACCGGTGTTTATCGCCAATGTGCGATTTGTAGATAACTGACTTACTATCTTATCATGGTAGAGTTGTCATGTTCACTTTTGATGTACCTGTACCAGTTATTGCACTATTAACTAAAATACTGAACCTGATCGATAAAAATGTACTGATATGTTATTTTGTTATCGAGAGAAGACTCATTATATTTAGGTGCAAAAAACATGGTAAATCAATGCGTCATTTGCTGATTGGAAAGATGCATTATTTACCAAGGAGGTGAAATGTAGTGGAAGACAATGACAGTATGGTTCAATGAAATTCATCTATTCATTTAGTGCATCTTGCACTATAGACGTATATAGAGTTGCTTGATTTACTTTTGCGATTTCCTTAAACAGCAATAAAAATTAAAAACACTTTTTTTTGTTCAAATTTTTATGGGAAAAGCAACTATGACTTTGAGCTCCATATGCCAATACCGGGTGTTGCAAATTCGAATGTTTCCATCGGGATCTCGGAAACGGTAAGAGTTGAGCATTTAGGTAGATTTTAGAAAATGTCACTCACACGCCTTCTTAGGAAACTCATTTTTTGATATTTCTTACGGTTTCCGAATTCCTACTTGTGAAAGTCATAGCTAATTAATTTGGAAGCCAATCATTCTTATTGTAGTGTTCTTTTGTTGACCTACTGTCCCATACACACAAAAAACAGTAGTACTTTGTAAAACACCCTTGAAGTCCTAGCTATATACCTATGACTTTTAAATCTCCACAGAAATCCCACTGATACTGTTCATATTTAACACGATTTAATATGGTTGCTAAGTTGTTATAGGTTTCTTTCATTATCGCTGACCGGGCTAAAGAAATAGGTGGTTTTTTGTTTCCATCATGAAACAGGACTGCCTTTAGGCTGTATTTGGACGAATCTATGAATAAACGCCACTCGCTGGGATCATGTTCCACACTAAGCTCATTCATTATAACACCAACATCACAACAGACACATAGCGACCCTTCCAGTAAAAAGAAAAACTTGATAATGTTACATTCCGTTTTCGGTAACATGAAACACTGGCTTTTTTATCTAACAAGTTCCACTGTTGAAGTCTGGAACAAAGAAGTTCCGATTTTTGTTTTGACAACCCTAGGACACATACCAATTCACTTAATTCATTCTGAGTTATCAAGTACGGTTCACTGGTAGCAGTTGGTAATAATGTTGGGCCACAACTGCTATTTTCAGGAAGTCCTGGATTAGATTCTGATGAAGAATTATATCTCACAGGGAGACACGATGTCCAGGTTTAAAGAAGCTATCGGTACCGCTAGTTCCTGGCAATCAGGAACTGGTCTTCGCGCAGAAGGCAAGTTTGGATACTATATTTTGTGGCTATGCATTTTTGAAATGCTTTCTGTTTTAGTTATGTAAAACTAGCAATCACTCACATGATCAGTAGGTTCTCTCGACACCATAGGAACAGCAAACGGCATAGAATTTTTCTTGCGATATATCCACTGCACTAAATTTTCGTGTCAACTCACACAGCAACCATGAGAAGCCCAACTTTTACCTTGGATCGCCAATTTGATACTTAAAATATAAGAAATAAGCTTGTTTGACTTCCTCAGATATAGGTCTACTCGTAGCTTGGGACTTAATAATGAATCGTCCACATATATAACAAAACTTATCGGCTGGATTCTTGCAACATCGACGACTCGAACTTGCTATTTTATATCAAAATCTACTCAAATACTTGACTGACTACTGACTACACTAGACAGAAACCAACTAAACTGTAGAAAACAATAAAACTCTTACAGGTTTGTACAATATTTTGATAATAAGACAGGTAACAATGATTTCAAAGATCGCATTATAAAAAAGGGTAGATACTTGAAAATGGGACGTGCTAGGCCATTGCTGGGTAAAAGCGTCTTAATAACTTCCTAAATGAAACGCAAAATACGCATTCTCATCGATGTTACCAAAATTATGTCGACTTGTGATTAATTATCAACCATTTTCAAAAAACTTGTTAAGAATGAAAAATGGAGGTGGGTGAGGGTATATCGCAATTTTTTATGTTAGTATATTAATATAATTCCAGTCCCCGTAATTCTACACACCTACTAGACATACTTCACATGGAAAAATATTTTCGAAAAGCGTCCCTGAGTCGACTGATGCCAACGGCCGGTGTGCCGGTGTTCCTACGTGTCCTAGCATGACTGGAGCTCTGTGGATCCTCTGCCGTGCCTGATGCATCGTGCATTCAGATATTGACGAGAGGCGTCGTGAAATTGCCAGATGGGCGGTACTATAGTTAGGGCGGGGAAAGAATGTTATGCACTAACTGTAGGGACCTATTGGATAGACTTTATCCGTCTACTTTTTCTGTTACATGTTCGTAACCACCTCTTTTACTCAGTATTATAAGCCTGATGATTTCCGGCGGCCATAGACAGCAGTTTCGTACTTTTTTGGCCTAGGTTTGGTCTCTGGGTCAACGGACGAAAGCATAACAATTATTCTCTATGCAGGAGATAAGGTATATGACTCTTTCTTATTTCGATAGGGTCTAGCTTGTGCTGAGCATAATCCTTTATGATGACGCCGTTATGTTGGAAGTGTAGAGACAGCCTACTCGACGCCATTTTTATTGTAGCGTTTCAAGGTTTATAAGAAGCATCAAATCCATTATGGCGGCAACGACTCAAAATCCTATAAAAATCGATAATAAGAATATGAACTACCTCAATTTTTTGTAATTCGGAAATAATAAGTTGTAGATGGCTTCCAGGTAAAAATATGTATTTCTCCTTAACTGTAGAGGTCTGGACAATATATGGCTGTGGTAATCGAATGAAATAAGAGTTGAAAGTAGTAAGCTTATATTACGATAGGTACTTCTTCACAGCTCTGAGTTTGTTCGGACATTCTTTCTGGTCTGAGTCGCAACGCGAACCTGTGATGTTCACTAGTTTCAGAGCTTTTGTAATTTGGTTTTTGATTAGCAGTTCGTCTCTTTCCGTTGATCTCAGAGCCACTAGAATAGTATCTGAAAATAAAATAAGGCTTAAGATGTTACATATCAGCGGCCTTCTGTATTTCTAATTAAAATAATTGCAAGTGCCGGATAAAACCTTAGACTGATCCACATCAAGGCCCGGACTTTCAAGTGTCAACTTTTTTTAAAAAATCGTCAGAAAATGCTGATTAATTCTTACTACAGATCTTACTACAGCAATGGTGAAAAATCTTTTACTGGCGTCCATTTCTCAAAAAGTTTTCTTTATAGAGGAAACCATCTGTTTTTCAATTTTTTGAGCAACTGGAAAGTTATATAGTTATGCCAAAAAATATCTTACTGCGTGTAGGATCTTCCATATTGCATTGATATGAGGTATGGTAGGAGCTATAGTCAGTATCCAGTACTACCATCTTCACATCTAAAAACAAAAATCACATTATGGAACTACTGAATACTATGCTTACTCCAAATTTAGCTAGAAAATCTATAACACTTTACGCTTGCATACCTGATTCTCGTAGTCTGAATACAAACATCCCATGTTCACCGCTAACCTCTTCCCCACTAATTGATTTCATTTTATCGCTACAAAACCGAAAGAAAAGTTATCAAAATGTACAGCCTAGTTCAGTTCAAAACGAATGAAGCTGCCTTATCCAGCTTGAGACATACTACTTTTTCTCTTGCTGTTCCAAAAAGCATATCGAATCAGAAGCTGTAAATTCAGCTTCACCTACATTTTGTTCTATGGAATGCCCTAAGATCGGTTTTCATATACGCGTATTACAGTCACATACCCATCTCGATAAGATATACTGACGTTGTATCTCTCGGCTCCAGTTAATTTCATAGCATAGCATGGTGGCACAGGACCTAGAACTGGCTTGCCAATAACAGTATGGATTCTCCATGATCCCCCAAACTAAAATTGCAAGTAATAAGTATCCAGTACCTAGCCTTCAATTTCTCAATAGTGCGCTTAGGAGTTGACCAGAAAAATCATAAATTTCATAATGTCTCTAAGAGCAAATATAAGATTCTTCTTATTTTGCACATAGGGGATGTATCTGTCATTTTCAAAATCATTATATGTTTCAAGAAGTCATAAATTGTTTGCTGCGCAGATATAATACTCACCGCTTTTCTATCAAAGTACTTAACAGGTGGTGGGCTCTGGCAGTCACCAAACACCTTAACGATAGCCATCACTAGCATAAATACGGTTCCAAACATGTTTATTATTACATAAGTTACCCTGGTTGATTACTATATTATTAGTAAGAGTTTATATAGACATTGATAACGTATCGGCTGTATGATTAAAAAATCCTATATGGCGGAAATGATGAAGTGTACAACCATTTTTTAACGTGATGTGTTTGTATAAAGCACAAATAGTAAAGTATTGACTGGTTATTTTCCACATGTATGGCAAATATAAACTCAAGATGGGAGTGTACCTTCTATTACCAACTAGATTGAGAATCCTCTACTTGAATGCCTTTACTACTAATCTGCTAAAACTTTTCTACAAGAAAATGCTCTTTACTTGGTCTGTGGGTACAATGAGCTCATTCACGATGGTCACTTTGTGATGTAATTGTTTTCTGCCAGCAGTTGAGACAAAGGAAATTTTGCAGACCGTAGGAAAAAACAGTAACGTTTGTTCTATGACTTATATTTTTTATACTGTCTGTTTTGTAATCCAAATGACTCGTTATACATGTAATTCTTTTTACACATATTTAGTAGTCAAATAAGCCTCATCTATCCAGATTTCTACAAGCCTTAGATGCTGAATGGACCAGAAAGCTTCTTCTTTGGTCGGTCTTTTCGATTATAATGTGGCCCTCTGACAGATCAACCAAGTTGAGGTTTTCCAATCGAAAGTCTTGTTTGTCGTGATGCTTATATCTACGGAGCGGCTAAATATACTGCGTCAAGATCTAAGACGTTCAATGCATCATTCATAGGTACAACTTTTTTTTTATACTCCAACCACCACTAAAGCATAAGGCTGAAACACCCGTGAGGTACCGTGGGGCTATAGGGGGATACAGGGGAAAGGGGGAACGTCACACGGGCTCTGGAGAGGGAACACGTGTGCATGCAACATGCACTCATTCTAGCCCCGCATACGAAATCGTCAGAGACCGTCTACCACCTATGGATAATCACAACATACATAGCCAAGAGTAAAATTTCCCTTGGGATGGGATTCGAACCCGCACAGCGCACGGCGACTGTTCAGGAGACCGAAGAGTCTACTACTGCGGCCACCGCTGCTGCCGAAACCAGATACGAGAAACTGGGGTACCTGGACACCTAATATGAAATATTTTCTACGCTAGTGGCCTTTTCGGAGAAAAAAGAGCATTTTATAAAATACCATCCAATTTTTCATGTATTTTTCTCTTGAGCAATTTTTTCCAGATCACTCGTTTTGGAGATATTTAGGTTTACACATTTGAGGTAAAATCATAAAATATCCTTATAAAAAGGTTTAACTTTCCCTCTTCTGAAAACACCGTGATGCTTGATGTTGTAAATACTATACGAAATGTAAAAGAAACTATGCAATCTCATTACAACATCATTTGAATAATATGCGTGTCATGTGTCATATCCTCTATTAGTACTGTATAAGCTCACCAGTCTTTAAACCTTTCCTGAGCACGCCACTGCTTTTTCCGGCATTTCATTTTTGTTTATAGATAAAGAAACTCCAAAACAAATGAAACGTTCACTTTTGATTCCTACCTATGCTGCTAAGTATCTATGAGAAGGAATTAAGGCACATGGTCATTTTCCTCCTCGTTGTTGGTTTCACTTTATCTGAAATTTCATTTAAATTGATTGGTTCCACGATTGTCATTTTAGACAAGGTTTAATGAATGTTAAGTTTCTATGCTACTGATTGAGATAATATATACATATTCACACACTGATCAACAGCCAAAAAATATCCTAAATAAAATCAACAAAATATTACTATTTTTAATGTGCTAAAACCGGAATAAAACTTATTTTTTCAATATTAGTTCAAGTTTTAGAGATACGGTAATTATATGTGTTCCTGCTGTGACAGTGTTAATATACTGTAATTCACAAGAATGCACGTGCTACATTTTTATATTCGGCAAGGAAAGATGATGTAATCGGCATGATTGTGTTACGTTATACATACGTGTACATTATATTGTTTTGTATTAGCCATTTTTTCCTCAGTTGGCTGACAGCGTTCATGCAAGATGTCTCGAAAGTGTGTAAACAATCCAGATCAGTTTTGTTACGTGTGTGGTGATGTGACGTTTGCGTCTCAGAGACGGTCTATTACTCCACTAATAACAAAGGCATATCAGCTTTATTTCGGTTGTAAACTAGGTAATCAAGACAAACAGTGGGCACCCCACATCTGCTGTAATACATGTGCTTCAAGTCTGAGGAGCTGGTTAAAAGGCAAAAAACAGTCTATGCGCTTTGCTGTTCCAATGGTTTTGAGAGAGCCTACAAATCATATTAATGATTGTTACTTTTGCATGGTACCTTGTGTTGAACAAGCCACAGGTATGTCCAAGAAAAAAAATCGGTTATTAAACGAATCAGATCATGGCGATCGAGTGATTCGTCAGGAAGAAGATATGCCATCAACGTCAAGAGATCCTGATTTTATACCGAGCACGTCATGCCACCAACCGCACAAAATAACACAGTCAGAATTAAATGATCTTGTAAGAGATTTAGAACTTCCAAAATGTAAGGCAGAGTTACTTGGATCAAGACTGCAGCAGTGGAACTTGTTAGAAGACGATGTTTCGGTATGTGTTTTTCGTAAACGCCACAAAGACTTAGAACCATTTTTCAAAATGGAGAATAACTTGGTTTTCTGCAGTAACATTAACGGCTTACTGGCGGCTTTAAATATAAACTATAACCCAGAAGAATGGAAATTGTTTATAGACAGTTCAACATTGACTTTAAAGGCAGTGTTATTGCATATTGGAAATATTTTACCATCTCTTCCTGTAGGGATGCAGTTCACATGAAAGAATCATATGACAATATGAAGTACCTATTGACATGCATAAAATACGATGAGCACCAATGGAATATTTGTGGCGATTTGAAAGTTGTTGCACTTTTACTTGGGCTGCAGCTAGGCTACACAAAGTTTTGCTGTTTTTTGTGTGAATGGGACAGTCGGGCAAAGGCACTTCATTACACCAGACAAAACTGGCCTGTTCGTCAATTATTTTTTGAAAACACTTTAACAGGTATTGAAAAAACTGCTTGGAATGATTTCCGTCTGATGGTCACTAATTTCTTGGGAAATAGAAAAGCTGACAACTATAAAACCCTTGTCAAAAATGTGCTGTCATCGTATCAAAAGATGGGCTGTAATATGTCTCTTAAGATACATTTCCTACACTCACACCTGGACTTCTTTCCTGATAATTGCGGAGCCGTAAGTGATGAGCACGGCGAACATTTTCATCAGGATATTTTAGCAATGGAAAAAAGGTACCAGGGAAAGTGGAATCCTTCCATGCTTGCAGACTACTGTAGGACTCTTGGTAGAGATGCTCCAGAAACGATCCATAAAAGAACAGCAAAAAGACAGCGCATATAGTGATTCTTATAAGTATATGAATCTTGTTACTTTTTTTAATATATCCTTAGAAATAAATTTATTTCATTGTCATTTTTGGATTCAGCGCCCCAAAATTAACAAAGAAGTGCACTTTTCCCACAAGATACAATTAAAAAACCAAAAATTTGTTGTCCAGTGTAATTTAACGTTATAGTGATGTGCCATAGCTTTCTTCACATGCCATATAGTGTTTCCAATATCAACCTTCACTGTGTTTTCAGAATAGGGGAATCTTTCATAACAATATTTTAGGATTTCACCTCAAATATTCAACCCAAATATTTTCTACTAGGGGTTCAGGTATCTCAGTTTCTACGTCCCTGATTTACTTTGGGTCGGGGAACTCTGTGCGTTTATTATTGATGGTGTGCTCACTGAACTCTTGAAATCCTAACACAGTATAAAACTGGTATCTCGGTAGGGGAGCATCTTTCGATCCACATTTATACTAACTTTTGTTATTTTTGATGTACCTCCTACCCTAGGAATATTGCCAGGTCTTGCTGAACCACCCTGTATATAATATACGTATATGTCCGTTCATTCTGTCAACATCACGCCAGAATCACAATACGGAGACACGTTAAAACATTTTCACTTACTAATTGGTACTGGAGGAAGATTATTGATTATCTGCCCTACTCAATCTTTGAACATGGAGCGACACAGACGTTTTATTTAGCACTAGCTGTTACCCGCGACTTTGTATGCTTGAAGCTATTATTTAATACATTGTTTTAAAGCAATCGTATATACTACGATCACGCTCTGGATCTTCCCTCGTCTCAGCCTAAAAGTTAGGGGGTCAATTACAAAAAGTAAGCAAATATGATTGAATGGGGTATCAGATGAAGGGGTTCGATTTGTAGATGATTGAATCGCTGTGTTGGTCTGCAGCCTGTTAGAATGAGTATTTATGATACGTTTCGTATTATACCTTCATGAGGTATACAGGGTAGCGCATTGAAAACGAAACAGACGCATTTAGAGGCAGCTCAGTTTTTTTTTAAAAACTCTCAGACCCACCGATTTTGTTTTCGAGGGTGACACAAGTTTGGCAGAAAATCACGATAACACGTGCAGCCCCCTGGGCGGGGGTGACACCAACCCTAAAATCTTAAATGGAATGGGGGGTCGAGTGACACCTTGCTTTAAAGGTCTTCCAATTCCCTTTATAATGATGTAAAATACATGAGCTTCAGTTCAGTAGTTTTGAAGATTTATTGATTTAAATCTTAAAGTAGACTTTAATAGGTACATCAGATTGGTTTTTAATAATTTCAGAAGAAATTTGACTAAAAGAATTTAAGTAAATGCTTTTCTTCACTACGCCCATGGTTTGTTTATCATTTTGTTGTTGAAAATAGCTATTGGAGCGTTTCTTTGTGGCAAAAAAGTTATTTCTTGAAGAAACATAAGGAAATATGTCGTACTTATTTTGTATATTAATGTAGTACATAGTTTGCGATTGATTTGACCAAACTTTGTTGCTAAAATAACTTGTAACGCTTTATTACATAAATTAACCATGGTATATTCCACAGCAGAAACAGTTGAAATTATCGAAATATTTTTCGGAAATAATCAGTTCGCTAATAGAACAGCAGAAATATTCAATGAGCGACATGAGAACAGTAACGTGCATCGAAAATATGTTCTAGAACTTGTAGCTAAATTTCGGGAAACGGGGTCAGTCGCCAATAAAAAACGCAACATTGAAAATCTCATAAGGAACGAAGCAATAGAAGTGGGGGTTTTAGGGCAAGTTTATGTAGATCCTACGTTAAGTACCCGCAAATTGGAGACTGTGTGTGGTGTTAGTCGACGTACTGTCCAACGGATTCTAAAGGCCCATAGTTTTCATCCGTATAAAATTCACCTGGTACAAGAACTTAATGAAGACGATTTTGATCGGCGATTACCATTTTGTGAATATATGAGTGAACGAATTATAAACGATGAACATTTTCTATTCAACACTTGATTTTCCGACGAATGTTCCTTTTTCTTAAATGGCCTAGTAAATCGTCATAACTGCTGATATTGGTCCGATTCTAATCCCAGAATTTATTATAAGGTTCATACACAGCAGCCACAAAAATTAAATGTTTGGGCTGATATTTTTGGAGATCATTTAGTTGGTCCTTTTTTCTTACCTTGAAATTTGACCGGTGAAATGTATTTGGAGTTACTGGAAGACGCCATAGATCTTAATGCAGGATGCAGCCATAATTGAAAATCAGGATGATCGGCGGTACATTGCGAATAGGTTGATGTTCCAACAGGATGGTGCCCCACCACATTACGCATTACGTGTTTGACAATATTTAGATCAGACGTTTCCAGATCGATGGATTGGTAGAAGAGGTGCCATTGAATGGCCCTCAAGATCGCCAGATTTATCACCATTTGGATTTCTTTATGTGGGTTCATTTAAAAAGCAAAATCTATGCTACTCAGCCAATATCATTAGAAGACCTGCGACAAGGATTTGTGAATGGGTGCCTTTAAATTACTCCTCAAATATTGCAAAATGTGCGGCAACGTTTTGAGCAAAATCTTTAATATTGCATGGAGAGTCATGGTGGCCATTTTCAACATTTACTTGCCTAACAGGTCAGTTCATTCTTCATTTTTAAATTACTTTGCTGCCAAATGTATTGATATCCACTAATGATGATGTATTAGTTTTATTTAAGCTTTAAATCAATAAATCTTCAAAACTACCAAACTGAAGTACATTAATTTTATATCATTATAAAGCGAATTGAAAGGCCTTTAAAATAAGGTATTCCTCGATCCCCCTCTCCTTTTAAGATTTTAGGGTTGGTGTCACCACCGCCCAGGGTGCTTTTGCCAAACTTGTGTCCCCCTCGAAAACAAAAGCGACGGGTCTGAGCGTTTTTCCAAAAAAAAAACTGAGCTGCCAGTAAATGCGTCTGTTTCGTTTTCGATGCGCCACCCTATATACCTATAGATGACCGATAGGTAGCAATGTTTCCCAAAAAAAAAAAACATTTTTTATACATTCTCCCTGCAATTGTAGCTTGTCAACAAATAATAGTACAATTGAATGACTGTATTCCACATTTACAGTAGATTAGCTCGACTGATTACTTTTTTTGGTCACTTTTCAAAAAAGGGTGTGGCTTTCTTGATCTGTCCCAATTGTTAATTGTTATTGTTGCGTATTTTGTTATGTTTGTTGTTGCTGTTGACGTTAAGCTATTTGCAATACGTTTGTTGTTAGTGACTAAGAAATGCATAAATCTTAGGGACACATTTTTTTTTATTTCTAATCTGTGCTGACACATAGCAGACATTAGTTTCACCAGAGTGTTGCACCTATTTTCCTAAGTATTCCAAAACCCAAATGTTAACCCCTGACATCGAAGCTCTCACACGGATTAATTGATTTGAGTGTGTTTTATCATGTATCGAGGTGAATGTTTAATGGTTGCTAATAAAGAGAAACACTCGAAGGTCGGAGGTCCTTTAATTTATCTAGCAAATAACCTTAATGACAGTTGAAAATCTCGAGATGGTGTCAGCGCGGTTGTGTGCAATATCTTAATTTTAATCTCGCGATGAGTATTTTATAACCTAAAATCAATATTTTCCAAAATGGCGGACCAGCCTAAAATGAACATCTTCGTACATTGAAACGTTTGTAACTCGACAACCGCTCATTAAAACGGTAGAGTATGTCAATCTTCTTTCCCTGGTAGTGCCTATCCAAATATGCAATAAAATAGGAACTATCACGTTTGAAAAAAAATCAAAATGTATCAATTCTCTTAAACAATGTGTCACAGATTCAGATAGGCTTTGGAACCCTGCTAGTCTGCTACCTTGGAAGATAGTAAATGTATACTCTAGTGTTATAAAATATTAGCAAGGAGCTCTTAATGAGGTATCATGTCGTGACACCCCATTCCACGTGAAAAATTATCTCAAGATGGCGCCCAGCCACCACGTGGAACTTTTAACTCAAATTTACGCTAAAATATATCAATCAATCAATCAATCAATTATTTATTCATGTCACAATACATAAAATATGTTTACATACGTCAGTAGATCAAATGAGAATTGCATTAGAATTAAAACAAAGGGAGTGCTAATGATCATAAAAAATTACAAACAAGTACACCAGCACTCATAAAGATATAACGCTAACATAACATATTAAGATTTATAGTTAAAATGTATGTCTTAAAAACTCTTCAAACGTGTAAAATGAGTTATTAATAAGAATTTTCTTGATTTGAACTTAAAAATCTTTAAACGGAAGCGATTTTAAGCCGTCTGGAAGTACATTAAAAAATTTGACCGCCCAATAACCAGGTCCATCTTGACACCTTCTCAGTCGCCAATAAGGAGGTACTAGATTGTTCTTATGCCTAGTATTGTGCTCATGGACGTCCCCATGAGTTACATAGTTAGAGTTTCTTTTAACGAATAGTAGATTTTCAAACAGTAAGGATTTCCAACTTGACAAAGGTATCTCTGCAATCGTCCCTGTAGCCCAGACGGCTCACAACCCTAACTGCTCTTCTTTGCAAGGCGAACAGTCTATGGACCCCTGAAGAGTGCCCCCAAGCCAGAATGGCATAGGATATATGTGAATGGCAAATGGCAAAGTAAGCCATTCTCAATATTTCTACTGAAACACAAGAAGACAAACTCCGTAGCACATATATACCTTTGGTGGCCTTTCCAGCAACACTGTCAATGTGAAGGCCCCATTGCAATCTTGGATCCAAAGTAACCCCCAGAAACTTGGCTTCATCAACCAAATCACTGTCTCCAGGCAGGCTTCGTATGGAGAACACCATTCTCTTTGTCTTATCTTTATTTAGCAACAGCTTATTGGAGCAAAACCACAGCTCAGCCTCATCCTGCGCAGCCAGAGACTGTGCCATTGAGCGCTCAAAACTATTAGCGGTGTGAGAGACGGTCGTATCATCCGCGAAGAGAGTAAAGTTTGCCATATTGTTATTGAGAGGTAAATCATTTATGTAAATTAAAAAAAGAATTGGGCCCAAGATGGAGCCCTGTGGGACGCCAATATTAACACTTCGCTCCGCTGATGTCACTCCATCACATCTCACCACCTGAGTTCTATTACTAAGGTAAGACTCAATTAGTCTAATGGAATCATAACTAAAGTTGTAAGCAAGGAGCTTTTTTAAAAGGATGTCATGGCTCACACAATCAAATGCCTTACTAAGATCGCAGAAAAGAACCGTGTTATACCCTCCTCCATGGAAAGCATCAGTTATAGAAGAAATCAGGTTAAGTACACCCATAACAGTGCTACCCTGGCGAAAACCAAACTGATATTGTGAAAACAATTCATTTGCCTCAAAAAAGGTTACCAGTCTCAAAGCCATACATTTTTCAAAGATCTTAGAGATAACTGGAAGAAGGGATATAGGTCTGTAGTTCTCTGGTGAATCAACATTACCGTTCTTAAAAATAGGTGTGATACTAGCTCTCTTTAGAACAGTTAGAAAAATATTTTCTCTAAGACAAATATTAATCAGTCGTGTTAGAGGGATCAAAATTATATTCTTTATACATTTTACAATTTTTAAATTGAAACCAAAAATATCTTTACTGTTTTTATCTTTGAGATTATCTATTACATCGCGAACCTCGTTAAAGTATTTATAAGTAATTATAGTATCCACGTATGAGTTTCATCGTTCAGAATTCCAGATTTCTAACTTGACGCGAGCATTTATTAAAGTGAGCGAGAGGCTTTTTGACAAGCACTGCATTATCCGGTACTACATTACTTGAATATATTTTTTTCATTAACACATCCTGAGTACTGTGTGACCCCACCTCGTGCCAACATATAATTGCAATAAGCGTGACATTGATTGTGTGACGATATCTTGATGCAGTTGTTTCCACATTTCCGATCGATAAGCACAGTGTGAGTGGCTCCCATTTGACTTTTTAATCCGCTCGAGTTGAGGTGGAGTGGCATTTTAGATAGCGGAGGTCGTCACTAACATTTGAATTGTACGGCTAAAATTCTGTAAATTTCTGGGAACCCAACTATATCCAACTATATCGTAGATCAGATATAAGGTTTTTGAGAAATTGGTGTTGAAACAGTGTTTAACTGATACTATATTATATTACAGTACAGATCGACATTAAAAGCTATTACAAGCTAGTTAGTACAATTTCTGTGGTCTGCAATATAGCGTGGCCCAATGACGTCAACTAATCTGTGAGCTTTATTAATTTGCTCTTTGAACAGTTCTTCATTAGGTGTCCTAGATCTCAGACTTACTTGGATTGTCCCTAAAAATAGGATGAAGTAATAACCACTACGATCAACTTTTGAGAGTTTTTCAAACATTATTAAACTAATAGTCATGGTGTTTATTATTTTTACAGCTTTATATGCACAGTCTGCGAAGGTCAAAAGTTTGCCATTTGTTAGTTACGTAATGTGTATGCCTTAATTTAGATACTTTGCGATAATTGATAACTTTAACCGAGATTTATTCAATCATTGAAAATGTTAACTGGTGAATTCTAGAGAACAGCTAGCTTCTAAGGGTCGTCTTTGTTCAGAAGGATCCGAAATAACTAAAAAAATTGAAAAAGTCACAAATGCGTTATATTAAGTTATCTAATGAATCGGACATCACACGCATCGTGGGAGAAACTTTCCATATCGATTATTTTAGGTTTTTTCTTGTACTACTCTGGACAAAAAATACCCTCAGAAACTTTTCCATAAAGTTGACCGTTTTGGAGTTATAGGCGACTAATGTCTGAGAAGTCTAAGAATGTGCATTTTTAGTAATCAGAGGCCTATTAAAATTATTATTTTTGAGGTTGCAAGTATTTTAAAGTAATCTTTAGCTATGCTTGGTACGCTAACAAATGGCGAAGTTACAATTTTCGCAGATTGCACTAGATATAAGTGAGTGTCATATTTATTCTAAAGTAAAATAGTGTAACAGTTCTTACTATGAGTGGCATCCACTTCAGTGCAGTAGTATGCGGTATAGAAGGTGGTATAGTCTGTGTCTAGTATCACCATCTTCACATCTGAAAATTTATTATTACCAAAATGGTGAGGATTTCCTCAGAAGCAAGACTGATTTAAGATGAGATTTGGTCTGTTAGTGTTCAAAGTTTCGAAACTATCAGCAGAATTTGCCATATTTTCAATGCTTCTCGATCCTTTATATTTGCAACTATTGTATTAGTACAATACTTATAAAGTGAAGTTTGAGATCACGAACGAACTCACCCTTTCCATGTATGTGTATTACTAATGCTCCATGATCCTCACTAACTTCGTATGCAGGAATATTTTTATATTGATCTCTGAAAAAGTATCCTCAATTACCTGTATTGTAATAATGGTGCTGGTATAAAGATCAGAATTTGCAATTTTCGCTATTTATACGTTGTGTTTGTATGTCAATATCTAAGGAGGTGATTTTTGGATTCATTTTAAGAAGATAACTTCATATGAACGTATGTCTTAAACGTCCTAACTTTTGAGAAACAGGGTGGTAAAGCTTTCAGAAATATTTGGCCTGACACTGAATTTTCATAAGTTAAAAAAATTAAATCAGTATTCACTTATAAACACATTTGCTCTCGTGAATTTTTCCAGTCAGACACGCACCTTTCACCAGAAACAGAATCTTGTCCTCCTGTGCGTGTTGACTCTGTCACATTGATCATGCAGTGATTCGGCATTTATTTTTTCAAGCATCGCTTAGAAATTACTGGAGATTTCAAATACAATTTTGATTTTCATCAATGCCTGACAAAATAGGCAGATAAAATTCCGGACGAACGCCACTGGTGTATCAAGCAATGCCTGTTCATACGTAGTACATGTATGTCAAATCTTATTAAAAAATCTGGAGTAGCATTACAGATCTCAATGATAACACTGGACAACAAATTTTAGTTTTTTAATTGTATCTTGTGGGAAAAGTGCACTTCTTTGTTAATTTTGGGGCGCTGAATCAAAAAATGACAATGAAATAAAAAAATTAGTTGCGGTTTAGAAAAAAAACTTTTTATTTTTAAGGATATATTAAAAAAAGTAACAAGATTCATATACTTATAAGAATCACTATATGCGCTGTCTTTTTGCTGTTCTTTTATGGATCGTTTCTGGAGCATCTCTACCAAGAGTCCAACAGTAGTCTGCAAGCATGGAAGGATTCCACTTTCCCTGGTACCTTTTTTCCATTGTTGAAATACCCTGATGAGAACGTTCGCCGTGCTCATCAGTTACGGCTCCGCAATTGTCAGGAAAAAAGTCCAGGTGTGAGTGTAGGAAATATATCTTAAGAGACATATTACAGCCCATCTTTTGATACGATGACAACATATTTTTGACAAGGGTTTTATAGTTGTCAGCTTTTCTATTTCCCAAGAAATGAGTGACCACCAGACGGAAATCATTCCAAGCAGTTTTTTCAATAACTGTTAAAGTGTTTTCAAACTGTATATCTTTCAAAATATTTCGAATCTGTGGCCCAACAAAAATACCTTCTTCAACCTTTGCCTCACTTAGTCTTGGAAATTTCTGACGCAGGTATTGAAAAGCTGACCCATCTCTATCTAATGACTTGACAAAGTTTTTCATTAGGCCCAACTTGATATGCAGTGGTGGTAAGAAATTTTTTTTCGAATCTACTAATGGCATATGCTGTACATTTTTTTGACCTGGCTCTAGGAATTGACGAACAGGCCAGTTTTGACTGGTGTAATAAAGTGCCTTTGCCCGACTGTCCCATTCACACAAAAAACAGCAAAACTTTGTGTAGCCTAGCTGCAGCCCAAGTAAAAGTGCAACAACTTTCAAATCGCCACAAATATGCCATTGGTGCTCATCGTATTTTATGCATGTCAATAGGTACTTCATATTGTCATATGATTTTTTCATGTGAACTGCGTACCCTACAGGAAGAGATGGTAAAATATTTCCAATATGCAATAACACTGCCTTTAAACTCAATGTTGAACTGTCTATAAACAGTCTCCATTCTTCTGGGTTATAGTTTATATTTAAAGCCGCCAGTAAGACGTTAATGTTACTGCAGAAAACCAAGTTATTCTCCATATTGAGAAATATGGAACATACCGAAACATCGTCTTCTAACAAGTTCCACTGCTGCAGTCTTGATCCAAGTAACTCTGCGCTACATTTTGGAAGTTCTAAATCTCTTACAAGATCATTTAATTCTGACTGTGTTATTTTGTGCGGTTGGTGGCATGACGTGCTCGGTATAAAATCAGGATCTCTTGACGTTGATGGCATATCTTCTTCCTGACGAATCACTCGATCGCCATGATCTGATTCGTTTTCTGATTCGCAAGTGTAGGATTCTGGGGGTTTTGGAATAGGATTTTCGTCACTGTGAGGCACAGGTCTCATCGCAGATGGTATGTTTGGGTAGTTAATAACCGATTTTTTTTTCTTGGACATACCTGTGGCTTGTCACAAGGTACCATGCAAAAGTAACAATCATTAATATGATTTGTAGGCTCTCTCCAAAACATTGGGACAGCAAAGCGCATAGACCGTTTTTTGCCATTTAACCAGCTCCTCAGACTTGAAGCACATGTATTACAGCAGGTGTGGGGTGCCCACTGTTTGTCTTTATCACCTAGTTTACAACCGAAATAAAGCTGATATGCCTTTGTTATTAGTGGAGTAATAGACCGTCTCTGATACGCAAAAGTCACATCAGCACACACGTAACAAAACTGATCTGGATTGTTTACACACTTTCGAGACATCTTGCATGAACGCTGTCAGCCAACTGAGGAAAAAATGGCTAATATAAAACAATATAATGTACACGTATGTATAACGTAACACAATCATGCTGATTACATCATCTTTCCTTGCCGAATATAAAAATGTAGCACGTGCATTCTTGTGAATTACAGTATATTAACACTGTCACAGCAGGAACACATATAATTACCGTATTTCTAAAACTTGAACTAATATTGAAAAAATAAGTTTCATTCCGGTTTTAGCACATTAAAAATAGTAATATTTTGTTGATTTTATTTAGGATATTTTTTGGCTGTTGATCAGTATAATTGGTTTAATCTTTGAAATTTTACTACCATGTACCTCAAAAGCTGAGTTGCTTAGGACTTAATTTATATGAAGTTTTTTCCTAAAATGTGTTCAAAAATCACCCCTCAAGAAAGCACCGTGTATAATATGAGAAGCTTGATGGAACGCAAGTGTAAATTTTTTCAAATAGGCCTGTTAGCAAGCAAGAGCAAGCCAAATTTTCAGAATTTTTGACTACTAAAAGTGCATACCCATCTCTATATGAGACATCCATGCTTGTGTACTTAGGACTTCCAGCATACGTTGCAGAGTAACATGGTGGAATGATACCAAGTATTGGATTCCCAACAACAGTATGGATCCTCCATGTTTCACTGAACTGAAACAGGATATCATTATCAAGTCTCCTCTGAATATTTAAGCTTTGAAATTGTGTGTTGGAGTGATAACCTATAGTGACACCCCTGAGGTGTACGTAATTGCATGCCTCAAGGATTTTGTTTCTAAATTCTGAGAAGAACATTTTGCGCTATGAGAATAGACATATATGTATACTTACCTTTTCTCTATCAAAATTTTTGACAGGCGGTGGACTTTGGCATTGACCAAGTGCCATGCTTAAAGCCATGGACAGAAGAATAGCAAGCTTGAGCATGTTGCGTCACTATTCAAGTACCTCAACTGATACACCTTAGGGCGAAGCCTGCCTTTTTTTTATATTTGCGATGTTTGATAAGGCACTCATTAATGCAACTATTAGCGTGCATTTTATGTAATTTAAAAAAATCTCGATATAGTCATTCTCATCAAGTGCCGACTTGTTTTTCTCGATTGATGATTCAGCAATATGTTTCTAACAATGCTTCCACATAATACGTGAAAGTATACGTTTTTTTTCAAAGTTTCGGTTACTATAGCGTTTTTTTCTGCAACTGTTTTGGCGCAGGCACTTTTCAAAATTCATGGACCTTAGCGAGAACAGAGCAAATAAGGGAGTCCAGCGCTTCTTTAGCAGTTCTTCCTCATTACAACTCATTCCCTAAATCATCAGATTTAAGTACGCTATTTATCAGACGACATCATCGAAAAGATTTTTATAACCATACGTCAAGCAAAAACGTCGGATTTTTTCAATATTTTACGATATTTCATCACATTTTCACGTCTGTTGAGGTCAATAGTCAGTCAGCAAGTGAAGTTTTTATGTACAGTCTGCACTGTTAGCAATAATGAATCTAGTGAAACAAAGGGTCGTACCAAATACTGATATTTGTTTCCACATACGTACTTTCACTGATTAGCAATTTTTTATTGTCCACATTGCTAGTTGTAGTAAAATCAATAAATTACATGGAAGTGTCGATTGATAAAGTACAAATCATATTACTATTTCGAGTAGGGAAATTACATTTGTCTACCTAGTATCGGGTTACGTCAAATGCTTTCTGCTTGTTGAGCCATAAGTCGTCAGGCGTGCAAATGGCAGGATCATTTGAGGAGGTCCATAGATGTTCCATATTTTGTATAGCGATAAATTATACTTACCGCCTTCTCTAAGTCTGAGGGCCCTTTTTATTTGGATAATTCTTTATGGAGCTTAGCGGTTGGGGTTGAGTTTCATACCTGCATGTTACATTGAGACATTGACAGATGTTCATCATCTGCCATTAATTGCCAAATTTTTTGCATCCGGAGAAATTTTTATATTTTGGCAAGAAAGACGGCAATAATATTATGGAAGCTGAACCCGAGGGGTCCCCAGGCGACCCCTTTACTGCTTTGAGTGGAGTTGGCGCGAAGTGCAGCGCTACTTTGGAACAAATTCCAGAAAACCAAAACGAGATGACGCCAATGAAGACATCAGGGATGACACCGATACTGGAGAAGGAAAACGAGAGCCAGAGACTTTTGAAGATAATTGCAGACCAAGCAGCCCAAATTCAAAGACTGACTGACTGTGTGGAGTCACTTAGGCTTACAAGTATCATAAATAAATCAGTTCCCAATGTTGATTCTTCCAAAACAGCAAAACGTCGACATAACAGTCATTCGAGTGACACACAGGGTGATCTTTTCACACCTGTGCGACGTCGCAAAGTGAGACTGTCCAAAACAGAATTTGCTTCGCTACCGACGAAATCCCCAAATCACAAACATTCAGGCAACCTAAAACCCTCTGTGTCTGTACCCTCTACCGCTTCTACTAGTAATTCAAAGGAAAGACCTTTATCAGCATAAGCACAAAGTGCTCCTCCTGTTATACCCCAAGTGCAGTCTGATCCATTGGCTGGCTGCAACTCATCTTCCTTGCCATCCAGCGGATCTCTAAACATACAGGCCCAACCGCCTCGCCAGGGGCGTATCACTCCAATCATTTTGAGAGATGCGACAAGTCTTGGTAGTCGTATTGAACGAGCAGTCGCCGTTGACGCTGGGATACGTATCATCCCCAAAACCGAAGACGATTATCGCAGGATAATCCGTCTTTTCAAAGAGGAAAACATTCCTCATCACACTTTCCCTTTGCCCACTGAACGCAACATGCGGTTATCAGAGGGATCCCAGCATCAACCACCGAACAGGAGGTTAAAGATGAGCTAGAACAGAAGGGTTACGCTCCCTTTCACATCATTCGCCTAAAGCGCGACGGCGGCGTGCCCATGCTCTTGGTGGTGGTGATCCTGCCTAAGAAAGAGAAGTCAACGAGCACGAGTTGCTGGGGCTCTCTATCAGAGTCGAAGTTCAGAAGAACTCTCGATTCATTGGGCAGTGTCACCGCTGCCTGAAGTATGGAAACGCACAGTTGTATTGCACTGCGCCGCTAAAGTCTCTAAAATGTGTCTAAGACCACATGACACACATGTGCCCTCAAACAGGACAAGATATGCGCAGATGTGCGAACTGAGGGGGGGAGCATCCGGCAAATAGTCCTACCTGTAGATTTACTCCTAGGAGAATTCTACAAGTCATCGCACAAAGGCGAGCAAAGTGATACGCAGATGCAGCAAGAGATGACACCTCAACTGCCCCTGCTGTTTCGAGCTCATCTACGACTACTCAAAATGTGGACCTAGCAACAGCGCTCAGGTCCCTACAGCAGATTATTAGTCCCCTGATAAGCGCCACTCAGGCAAGGCAGGCCATCTTTCCGTTAAATGGCTAGGTACAATAGCAGACAGCCTGCATTCATCAAAATTCTTTTCTGGAATTGTTTGGGTCTTAGTGATGTCCCCAAAAAACGGGAATTTTATCAAGCTCTTTTGGATGAAAGCGTAGATGTGGCTCTGCTGCAGGAAACATTGCTTAATCCGGGAGATCGACTGGCTTTCCCGAATTATGATGTTATCCGCACTGATAGATTTACTGGACGGGGTGGCGGTTTGGCAGTGCTAGTGAAACATGGTATTGACTATTACGGAAGCACAAACGCTGAGATGCGGAGCATCGAGGCAGCTTCCGTGGTAGTGAATATAACGGGAGGTATCTCGTTGAAAATCGCATCGGTTTATGTCAGATTGGGTTCCAGGCTGCAAGAGTCGGATCTGGAAGTCCTGTTTAACTGCTAGGGTCTGCTTATTGTAGCAGGGGAGTTCAACTGTAAACATCGAGCATGGCACGGTAGGTTAAATTCCACCAGTGGGATTCGACTTTACAACCATGTGATACGAAACGGCTACCCTATACACAGCCTGAGTAGCCGACTCACCACCCATTTAATCACCTTCAGGCACCAGATGTCATTGACTTCGCGATATCTAGAAACTGTAGATACAGTGTCACTTCTCGAATCATGTATGACGATCATCTTCCTATCGTACTGGAAGGAGAAACTCTTCCAAGGAAGATGGTTGCTTGGGAGCTATACAAGTCGCTCCTTAGAGAGTTCCCCAATATTCCGATCATAGACGATGAGAACGATATAGATGCTGCTCAAGCGGAGTGGACAAGTTCCGTTCAGCAAGCTCTGCAGCGTGCAGCTGTACTACCAGTACAACGACACGGCAGACCTTTTCTCCCTGCAGACATTCGTCAGAAAATTTCTGACAAAAGAGCTGCAATCAAGCGAAGAGATTACATTCACAGAGCAACGAATCTTGTTCATGAAGTGAGAAATGCTCTTCATGAATTCCGTAATGAGCAGTGGAGCGACTTTCTGTCGGGGATGTTTGACTCAAGTATTCCTCTCTGGAAAGTTGCAAAGTCGCTCAGAAGCGGAAAGCGAGAACAACTCCCGCACATCCACGGTCCTAGGGGCATAGTCTGTAGGACAGAGGAAAAGGTCGAGGTTTTCGCTGATGCATTGGAAAGTCAGTTCTCTCCCAACTATGACCTTGATAATGACTTCGACGAGGAGCTACATATTGTAAGATCCGTCAGGAGATATTTTAGGGCCAACGGCGTCAGTGGCAGTAGTGCCTCCCTTAGTGATTTTTCCTCAGAGGAATCTTCAGAAGATTCCTCAACTGAAGAGCTGCATGGCACATCAGCGAAATCTCCTGAGACTCCGCATTGCACACCAGCAGAGCTCCAAGGTCATATTAAAGACCTGAAGGTGCGTAAAGCACCTGGAGGGGATCGAATCACTAATAAGGCGCTGAAGCTACTATCGTGGAAGTTCTTAACTTAATAATCAATGCCATACTAAGGACCCAGCACTTCCCAACGGCGTGGAAGACCGCTGATATCATAATGATTCCAAAGAAGGTGGGTTCGATATTCCCCCAGGATTACCGCCCCGTTAGTATATTGTCAGCTCCTTCTAAGCTCGCTGAAAAGATGATTCTGCGTCTCCTTTAAAATTTCTTGGCAGACCACAATGTGATTCCTGACGTGCAATTTGGCTTTCGGTCTGAGCATAGTACGGAGCTACAGGCCATAAGGCTTGTTGAACGAGTAACCAGGGGGTTCACCCGTAACGAAAGTACTGGCATCTTGCTTCTGGATGTCTCAAAGGCACTTGACAAGGTGTGGCACATGGACCTTCTCTACAAATTGATCCATAAGGGCTTCCCCTTCTGGCTCCTAAAACTTTTGAAATCCTTCCTCGAGGGTAGGAAATTTCGGATCAAAATTAATAACGTTCTGTCGACAACACGGCCCATCAAAGGCGGTTTCCCGGAGGGTTCGGTTCTTGGACCAGTCCTTTATTCACTTTTTATTCATGACGTCCCTTGCCCCAGCAACTGTGAAACCGATCTCTGTGCTGATGACACTGCCCTGGTGGCCCAGTCGTGCTCTGGGGATTTAGTTCACGACAGGATGCACAGTGTAGTAGTATTGTACTAAAAAACGTAGCGGCGCCCCGTCTGAGGTTTCAGTGAATGGAGCTTGGGTACCATGGGAAAGCTCTGCTAAGTATCTCGGTGTCACTTTTGACAAGGGGATGACCTGGCAGAAGCACACTGAAGGGTTGAAAATTAAATTACAAATCTCGTTTCGGCAACTCTACCCTATGCTATGTAGAACATCAAAATTAAGTTTGATCAACAAAGTTCGGCTATACAAGATGGTTATTAGACCAGCGATCACTTACGCAGGTGCGGCTTGGTGTTTTCTCGCCAAAACGCATTTGCGTAGCCTGCAGGTTTTGCAGAACAGAACCTTGCAAGCACACAAGGTCGCGACTCGCACTATGAACTAAACTAAATCGTGCGACTTTAGGTCCAACCAAAATTATAATTTTCTTCAAGGACCAATCCCAAAATTAATTTTAGGATCAATTTAAAATTGCCGAATACTAACTAGCAATGGCAAGGCACCCCTCAAATTGATGCACTTCTTTTTTCTTTGCTCTCCCTCCTTCCTTCCTTCCTTTCTTCTTCCCACCTTTCTCCCTGACTTTGTTTGGTATCTGAACAACCAGACCTGACAGACCTACTGACTTACAAGACTTGAACCAAGAGCAAAGGTCCTACGGACCACTCTGACAGACAATGACGGATTGAAAAGTTACATTGAGACTCACATCAACTTTTGTGGCGTGGATTGATCTGGGTCAAAATGGACATGTATATTCTGCAGTGTTTGGGCGATAGTTCTCAGAACAGGCTTAGCTCATCTGCTGTTTGCGAGATTTCT